TGTAGTTTCCTCCACAACAACCTCGGAATCTGGTTCTTCAACGAAGACGTCATTTTCATCTTTGACTTGAAAATCAGAGACGTCTTCAACAATGACAAGCTGGTCGTTGAAGCTTTTCTTTTCCTCTTCACAAATTATTTCTTCAATCAAAACTTCTGCACGTGAAGCTTCTTCATTAATCTTGGCCCATTCTTCATACGGTACGGCATGTTCATTTGGGCATATCCAGTAGATATGACCATAGCCACAACACTTGTAGCACTGTTGAGTTGGCCCTTGCAATACAGCCTCATTGGCGTAGATGATCTCCAGATTTTTGAGGTATCTTTGGACATCCATATCTCAACAACCAGATATTGGAAAGATGTAATTCCAACTCCCGGAGTTAGATATTGAAGTCTTTAAAGACATATCAAAATTTCAGAGCCATTGAAAAATGTTTTCTACCTCTTTGGAGACAAACTCAGCAAGGTAGACAGAATCCGGCCAGGACTGTGTTATCAACTTCGGGAGGGCGTATCTCTCAAACCGTAACTCGGAATTGAGTGAAATCAGCGGCCAGACGTAGATAAAAGGTTAAACTACTGAACTGGAAAGTTTCACCTTCAAATACGTTGTGTAGCATCCTCCGTGCTCAACGCCATGGAACTGAAAGTTTCTGGGGAAGAAATTTCAGCAACGTTCTTTTGGGCAGCGTTTGCGAAGCCGGTCCTCAAGGTTATCGTCGAGACGTAAGAAAGCCTCAAAGCTGAGCTCCGATACCAAATGTTAGGGGTGAACCGGGGGTCTTATCAAGTTTATAATTTAGTGGCGGATGTGCGGAGGAAAATGGAAGGGAAATAGTGGGCGAAAGTATGGAGGGTGTTTTAGGAGTTCTTTTTTGGTATTTTATGGAAGAAAAAGAATAGGATTAAGAAGGAGAAATGGAGGGATATGAAATGGAAGAAATATCACGGATGGATAAAACCAAGTTGGTGTTAGGAGATATTACACACTCTTATCCTAACTTGGGGTTTGAATCTAGAATTCAATTAAGATATTACACACTTAATCAAATATCTAGAACCTAAAACTCACACTTAAGATAACCACTCTTAAGATATAGAATTAGGAATTTGGCTAAAATAGCATCACACTATTTTAATAATACTCAAAGAGTAAATGGTTTTCAATATTCAAAGATGTGTTACAATGGCCATAAGGCCTGATTATATATAGGCAGGGGAAGGGGGAAGAAATACACAATACATTGAATGTAGACATAAGGAAACTTCCTGTCTTCTTCTCCTAAATCAATAGCATGACCTCCACTTGTTGTTGTCCCTTTGGTGGGTAAAAAATCAGGGATAAGTTGTACTTGTGTGGATGGTGTTTTGGCCAGTAGTGAATGGTAAGGATAGGTGAATG